TATAGACTAGGAATTTCAATTGTGACTGATGTCTATAATTTTTTATCATTTATATAATACGTTCGGCACTAGTGAAGAAAAAGAAGGAGAAATATACTTTTAGCTGTGAGAGGAGATAAGTGACTAATGAATTTTGATTAATTTTTGTGCATGAAAAATGAAGATAATAGGATTTTGATTAAACATGAACATAACAAAGGATGATTATTACATTAAGAAATTGTTAAATAAGAGATTTAAGAAAGAAATTATTTTGAAAGAGCATCAAAACTAATATAGGAGAAAATTGTCAAAATAGTTCCTTGACTCGTTGTAGGAGGTCATTTTAGTCATAGAACCTACAAAACTAACAATTTAGTCCCACAAATGACTAATACTTCCCCAATAAAAAGAGTTTAGGGATTAATTTGGCATTTTTATAAACTCTGGGACTAAAATGGCCCCATATAAAAAGTCGAGGGACTATTTTAACATTTTACTCAAATAACATAGTAATGCACTTTGTAGATTTATGTAAAAATGTGGATTTAGTTTAAAAAAATGTGTAAAGGCTAGGTTTGAAGTTCAAATGAGATACCAATTGAGGTTTAGAGGGTAACATAGAGCATTGCTTTTATTTTATAAATCTTTTCAATAGAATATTGAAGATTAAAATGATATCAATTGATTGGAGAAGCAGTATATTTAAGAACAAATGAAATGTTGAAAATTATGCTAACTTTAGAGGAATTAGACTTATTTCATATAAAAAAGGTATGAGAGTGAGTAATGGAAGTCTTGAGAAAAAAAATATATCAATTTTAGAGTACCATTTTAATTTCATGTCGAGAAGATTCATCATAAAAGTTATTTTTTGTGCTAAGACAATTGATAGAGAAGTATAGAGAACCTTCCTATAAATTTATTGATTTTAAGAAGGCTTATGTTCAATCATGAGAATTGATTTTTTGTGCTTTACAAAAGGTTATCAAAGATATGCATGAAGGAATTAGTGTTAGAAGAAATTTATATGGTGGCCTAAGATATTTTAATTATAATAGGTTATACATCAAAGATCAACCTTGAGTCAAATTTTTTTAGTGGTTATGGGATTCTTATTAAAGATATTCAAAGTGAGGATTTTTGTTGTTGTTGTTGTTGTTGTTGCTTCTATTTGTCACTAGTCACATTTACAATTTGTACTTTTCATTTCCTACAATTCACTTATATCATTGCAAGAGAAGGTAACTTTATAACTTGATCACCAATCCAACTAGGTTAAGTAGGATTTCTGCAGGATTAAACCTTTAGATTAATTTGCAATGCATTAGGACTAGATAGTAAAATTTTAACCTAATTTAAATTCCAAGCTAAGAACAAAACGTAGTAGACTAGAACTTTTTCAAAGTTTAATTCCTTCATTCTCTGTGGAATCGATAATCCAGACTCAAAAGTCCAATACTATTAAAATGATACGTACACTTGTGTAAAGCATCTATCATTGATTAATTGATTAACACGTAGGAACATAATAATTTACTCGTGCAAAAAAAATATATCAAATAATTGTTGTTGGGGCCAAAATTTTTCTAGCCCAATAGAATGTAAATTTGAAAAATATAAATTTATTACTCAATTTGTTCAGCTTCACCCTTATATCCTTCTTGGGATTGCTGATTGATGCCACTAATTGTTAAAGTTTGGGAATTCTAGTTATTGGTGATTGCTATGGTTTATTTGTCATTAGTGGCTATAATCCCAAAACTTGTGGTTTTTACAGATGTTTCAAGACTTCCATTGTAGTCCTAGATTGCCTCTTGTTTTTTCTTTTATGGATGAATTTATTTTGAAATTATGAAACTAACTATTACATATATTTTAATATTTCATTGAGAGGAAGTTTTAAGCATTAGTTATTTTCTTGCAATCTCTCATTAAATCTATTTAATTATTTAGCTAGCCAACATATATATATATAAGAGACATAAAAACTGGCTTGTTTATGGATAAATATAATAGGTATGTTTATATATATATATATATATATATAAACATACCTATTATATTTATCCATAAACAAGCCAGTTTTTATGTCTCTGTCATTCATCTTATCTCTCATTTGTGGACATTATCTTCGAGCTTTGCAATTCTACGATTGACTGTGTCAAGCGCTTTCTACCTCCCTTCTGAAATGTTGTAGGCCATAAGACAAGCTGGTTTCCTGGTCTGATAGATTATCTTCCTACATTTGGTGAGCAGAGGAGTTCAGCATGCTATTCTTAACCTACATGACCACTTTAAACTTCAACAATTCAGACTTACTCCTAGAAGTCGAGGCATTTGATGCTTGTAATATTCAAGGCATGAATATTTTGTACAGTTTACTTTTTTCCTATTTCTAGTCTTCCCTTCTATTACCAAAGGTGATACCCCGAACCGTAAATGAGGGGTCAAACCGCTATAAGGGAGACTTTTTGTCGGATTTTCCTTCTATTTCTTACTGACAATAAAAAGTTTTTCTTTTGATCTTTATAAAGCTCTCTCTATTCAGGTCTTGGTTCTCAGGCGTCCCAAACTAGCTGGTATACCACGGATACATAAAGATTCAACACATATCATCATTCACATACTTTATATTGGACCCATTGATCTCTTAATACATACAATTTCCTCGTGGTTTCTTTTTTTTGGATTTTTTGTTATAAGAGCACAAGGAGATTTTAGGCCATGTTTTTCACGGGAATATCTTATTTCTAAAGGTTGGGTGGTTATCCAATTCTATCTTGATTTAGTTGACCAACATATTCATATAGCTTGCCTTGAGGCCTCCTTTTTCTTCGTTTGATAAAAAATATTGTATATTTATACAAACAAAAATTCATGATTCTGGAATTTGGTCATTTTAAGGTTTGCTGGTAGAACTGATTCTAAGTTTGGTTTTAGTGTTTTCAATAATTTTGACAGCATGGTTCAATTTAATTATTTTAGATTTATTTACAACTTTCAAATTTAAGTTCTTGGATAAATTTTAGGAAAAAAAAAATTAATGATAAAAAAATATTGTGCGTATATTGTTATTTTTATTTATCATTATATTCTTTCACATCATTTAAATTAGTTATATAATGTTTAGATTATTAAAATATTAGGTGACATTGTATATTTTGAGATGTAATACAACAACAACAACAAAGCCTTAATCCCACTACGTGGGGTTGGCTAAATGAATCCTTTTTCTCCATTGCGTCCTAATTATGTCATATTTTCATTTAGTTATAATAAATTAAGATCATTTTTTGTACAATAAGCCCAAGTCTTTCTAGGTCTACCTCTGCCTTTCTTAATATAAGTCGAATCTAAAACCTCTACTCTTCTAATCGGATCATCAAATGGTCGACGTTTAATGTGACCAAACCATCTAAGACGACTCTCTCTAAATTTGTCTGTGATTGGAGCTACTCCAATGTTATCACAAACATAATCATTTCGCATTTTGTCTCTAAGTGTAAAGCCACTTATCCGCCTAATTATTCTCATCTCGACAACAATTAACTTAGTAGTATGCTTCTCTTTTAAAGGCCAACATTCAACGCCATTGAGCATTGCAGGTCTTAACCTCTACTTCAACCAACTAACTTGAATTCTACTATTAACTTCCCCATCTATATCATCGTCTCTTTGAACAACGGACCCGAGATATCTAAATCGATCACACCTTTTAATAATTTGATCACCCAAGGTTACACTTCAACCACAGCCACTAGTGCTACTACTACTAAAATTATAAGTTAAAAATAATTGCAATTTATGTTATTAAACCTAATCCGTATTACATTTAAAAAAGCTTAAAATTTTACCCTCACAAGATCTTTACCATTCATCTCATTAATAAAGTAGGGCTATGAAAAAATTGGTTGTGACCACATATGGTTTACCAAATTAGAAAAATAATGCAAAAAATTTGTCTATTTAATGCATGTGCATTATGATTAATTTTTATACTGGTTGGCGCTCATGCATGATAAAGTTTTTGTTTATTGTGATATATTGGATTATTTTCCATAATATGTGACTGATTGTTAAGGCTGCAACATAGAATAAAAAGAAACATACTAAATCTACCGCAGTTGTTGATAAATTAATGTTAGGACAGTTTGAAAAGTGAGTAGTAAAACATAAAAATATTCTTGTTGTCATCTTTATTCTGATTTGCAAAATGATTAGTACAAAAGGAATTGAGAGGGCATACTAAGGAAATATACAGAAAATATCTCAAAATCGTCAACATAAGTATAACAAATCCAAAAAATAATGTAATGCCGTAGATTGAATGACTTCCTTTTCTACATTGTGAGGTTTTATAAATAACATATATCAAAAATCTTAAGGCAGTTTTAAAATTTTATTAAAATTGCGGTTTGTGGAAGATGCTTTAAAAAACGAAACGTCTAGATGTTCTCTAGGAAGTCCTAAAGCCCCCAATATCTCTTTCTTTAGTGCTTCTAAATATTATACACATATTAGACTACAGTTTCGTAACATTTGAGTTATGAATAGCTCACATGGGATTTAGCCAAGTTTTGAATAAAATTTATGGGCATTTACATACATACCGCACAATTCTTATTTGTTTACATATCTAACACCAAAAATTCATATTTGCATGCAGACCACCAAATCTTTAACATCATATAAAATTTACCATCATCAATACCTTTTTAAAAGTGAAGTACACCTTTTCTTGCATAGCTTTAGGACACCAAGGTGTTATATATGTAAATATCAAACCTTGGCTGTTAGATATTATGTAAATACATAAGAATTGTGTGGTATGTATGTAAATTTCCCTAAAAGTTATTGTTAATGTATTTTGGCAATTGTCGCAAGAGGTTTTTAATTATGATTTCATTTGAGGATCTTAGCTCCATTTCAAATTTTGATATTGTGCACCCCTTTTGTGTCGTGCTAAATGCAAATTATGCTTTTATGTATCACGTGTTTTTCGATGTTTATTCCTGCAGATGTTGTTGTAGCTCCTCCATTTATCTACATTGACCAAGTAAAGAACTCATTGGTCGATCGAATAGAGATATCTGCTCAGAACTCTTGGATTGGAAAAGGTGGAGCCTTTACAGGAGAAATTAGGCAAGTGTTTGTGCATTTTATGTATAGGAAAAGTGACACCCTTGTGGCTGCATGTGTCTCGCTCTGCAACTCTTCGTTTTGCATTGGGGTGTTTACATACATACCCTATATATTTACATATCCAACACCTAAACTTTAGCTTTTACATTTATACCATTACCACCCAAATGCTTCATAGCACATAAAAAATGCCACCATTTTAATTTTTAAAAGGTTAAAGTACACCTTTTTATGCATAGGTAAACTGTCATGTATGTAAAAATTGAAGTTTAGGTGTTAGATATGTAAATACATAAGAACTGCGTGGTCTGCATGTAAATCATCCTTTTGCATTTATTTCCATTAGCATGGATATCAGGGAAAGATGTAGTTAAATATGTCCCAATCGATGAGTGCACCTTTTAAATGGGACTGGAGAAGTTTCAGATATGTAATTGTTTTGCTCGCTATTTAATGAGCCTATAATTATACATGGTTGAACAAGGGATGAAGAATTTTGCATTAGGTGTTTGTATATTTAAATATGTAAATGCTGGAATGAAAGGAGATTGTCTGTAGTTTTCAAAGAAATATATTACTTAAGTATTTTATCTGTTTTTATTGATAATCTGTTAAAATTATACTTCATATTCCAGAGTATTATAAATTGTTGAATAACCATTTTTTTAGTATTTGGACATTTATGTAGCACTTCATTTTTGAACTTTGAGTGTTAGAGCAGGAGAAGAGCTCCATCATGTAAATGCTATTGTTAAACCTTAACCTGTTCACTATAACTTCTTCATCTTTTTTATTTATTTGGAAGCATAATTGAGCTTAGACAACTTGGTCATTTATTAGGAGTACCATCTTCATGTTATTATATACTTTTTTGCACCCAAAAGGTTTTTCCAATTAAAAGTGGCCCTTGTTTTCTTGTAATTTACACTTAGTTTATCTCCTATAGAGGCATCATTTTATTTATTTATTTATTTTGAATTTTGCAATATCCAGTGCTGAACAATTGATTGACATTGGATGTAAGTGGGTTATTCACGGCCATTCTGAGCGTAGACATATTATAGGGGAAGATGACCAGGTAACTTTTTCACAAGCTGCCGCATCTATAATAACCCATTAATAAATTAAAATCATCATTCTATTCAATAGGAATTATACTGAAACTTCATAAACTTCAGTTTATAGGGAAGAAAGCTGCATACGCCTTGAGCCAGAATCTTAAGGTTATTGCCTGTATCGGAGAAAAGTTAGATGAAAGAGAAGCAGGAAAAACATTTGATGTTTGTTTTCGGCAGCTAAAGGGTTTTGCAGGTGAAATAAAATTGTTCCATTTCTTTTTTATCCCAATAATTAAAAATATATAAACATATGTTTGAAATTTCCAGATGATGTGAAAAGATGGACAGACATTGTTATTGCCTATGAACCTGTATGGGCTATTGGGACAGGAAACGTTGCCACTCCAGAGCAAGCTCAGGAAGTACACGCTGCAATTCGTGATTGGCTGAGGAAGAATGTCTCAACTGAAGTTGCTTCTGAGACCAGAATAATATATGGAGGTAACAATAAGTTGCCACAATACTAGTAGATCTAGCTTACATAAAGCAAAATTTAAAACCAGATTTGCGCTTAGTAAGCTCCTTACCTTTTACAAAATTATGATGCTTTCGCGGTTTTTATATGCTACAATGGACGTGGTTGTTGGGCAGCATGATTATTTTGTTATAAAGCTTTAGATTTATTTATTGAAAGAGTCTTTGGAATAGAAAACAGAAGAAAAAATAATATTGGTCTTATGCGAACTGATTGTCATTCTAGTTGGGGGTGTGAAATATTGTTGGCTCGCCAATGTACTAATGGGTGAGCTCTGATTAATTTAAAAGGTTAAGCTAATGAATAAGTATCCACTAGTATAGTGAAAAATTTATTTTTTAGTTTTTCTTATGATAGTCTGTGTTCCACTCTCATTTGGAGTTCAATAGATGTTGGAACCATAAATAGTCTAGACTACTGAATTTGAGTCAAGTCAACAATTCTAATATTATTCAAGGAAATTTACATACGTAGCACACAATATATATGTATTTACATATCTCACACCTAAACTTTTATATTTACACACATAAACTTTGGTGCCTTAAATCTATGCTTGAAAATGTGAATTTGATTTTTAAATAGTGACAATAGTGTTGTTTTTTATGCTATATTAAGAAATTGAGTGCTATGTATGCAAATATGAAAGCTTTGTTGTGAGATATATAAATACATAAGAATTATATGTGATGTATGTAAATGCCCCTATTATCAGTAATTTACATACATACCACATAATTCTTATGCATTTCATATGTGAATATTTCCATATATATAACACTCCAATATTTAACATCACATCAAAAATACTATTAATACTAAAATTTTTAATGTGAAATACACTTTTTTAATGCATAAATTTTGAAGTTATTACGACACTTAAGTATTATATATTTGTAAATGCCAAATTTCAGGTGTTAGATGTGTGAATACATAAAAAATGTGTGATATGTATGCAAATTCCCTTATGATATATCAAGTGGGTATGTGTCGGCACTATTTTGTTTGGGGGAGTTGCCTGTAAGAAGCTGTCGGTCACCGGAATCGAAATCCCGTCGCCCGCTTCAGAAGAACGTTTTAATTTACATATAGATTTAAGTTTAGATTTAAGTTTTTTAGAAAAATATTAAATCAAATTGACCCCATATTTTTCATAGTTTAAATGAAAAAGCGTTGTACCTCAAATCCTATATCTGTCCCGAAAGATAAACACAATATTTGTGGATGAGGCTCGATCAGATAAACTAAGAAATGTATGACGTTTATTTGGTCTACGAAACCATTTTAATTGCCGACTATTTCTACTATTTAATATTAATAATTTAATAGATTTTATATTCAGCTGGGTTTGGATGAGCTTCCTATAAGGGCAAGCCCCTATAGTTAATTACATCTTAAATGAACGAAGTCACCTAAGAAAACTCTGGATAAAAATCAGAAAATATTATCTTCAAGGAGTTCAAAGGATAGGACTTTTCAATGATAAATCGGACAACGAGGTTTGCAAAGGAGAATGGTTCAAACTTGGAACATTTATTATAGAATCCAAAGGAAGAAGAACTAGGGGATTCCACAGATCTGAAGGAGAACCTCAGTGACTTCCCAACCTACCCTATGGTTTGACTTCAGTTTTGAGGAAGAAATATTCAAGTGTTTTATCCTGCCAATTTTATTTGCTTAGGACTTACATTCGTGTGAAACGATCACACAAATAGCCTGAAAGATATGGTGAGGGTTTAGGGCGGAAGAATGACAACCTCAAAATCCTAAGATGAGTTAGGGCTTAGGTTGCACAGTAGAGCCGTACAAATATCTAAAGATAAGTTGAGGATTTATGTTGCTTAAGCAAACAACCTCAAAATCCTGTGGATTGTTGTTTTAACTTCTAAGGAAGGAATGATTTAACTGGTGTAGACATGTTCTGCTGTTGAAGATGACCGTGCTGCTCACAATGTTAGCTCCAAGCTCCTTGTCGTGACGAGTTTAAGTTTTATAGGGTGTCAGGTTATGATGTCAAATCAGACGGCCTTATGGTTGTAGTCCTTTAAACATTTTATGAGAGACATATTGAAGTTGTACAGTGTATGAAACAATAGTAGAATGTGTAGCACAAAACAACAGTAGATTATGCAGTGAAAAAGAGCAGTACAACATGAGGTGTAAATAAAATGTAAAAGGTACAGCAGGAAAGTGACTGCAAGAAAGTAACATACTGTAAACATAAAGCAAACCTGTATACTTGCGAGATCCGCTGTTCCTTATGTGTAGTTGATGCAACAGGTACAAATAGAACATGCTGAATTGCATCATATAAATGAAAACAAAAGAAGAAAAGAAACGTCACCCGGAAAACTCGAGAAGGACGAGAAGGAACGGTAAAGGTAAATGACCCACGATGGAAAGTTCAGGAAAAATCAACGAATAATCCATGACGAAAAGCTCGAGAAAATTGATAAGTAACAATTCAAATAAAATCCGCAAAACCTCGAGAAAATCTCGAAGAAAAGACCACGAGTGCTTTGTTCAAAAATTTTGATAAAACATATGAAAAAGTCTGAAAAGAGGGGACCGCAAGCACTCGGGTAGGGCTAGGCTCAGAGATAAGGGCTAGACTCAGATATATGTTTGTACTCGAGAGTCGTCGAAGGCTACTCGGTCACCGGATGTATAAAGTCCGCCACTCGACTAGAAGGTTGTCCTACTGAACCTAACTTAGGAGGGTACACCTTGGCCCAAACATGTAATCAACAGGTGGACAACCAATTTTTTTAAAATGTATTTAAAATTTATATTTTTAGCATGCACATAGGTTTCAAGCATACAAAAGTGGGTTCTATCAATTTTGTTTGTAGCAAAAAAAATATATTTTTGTTTGAAGGTGTATCCGTTCTTATCAAATTTGTTTTTATTAGTTTTGAAAAAGTATAATTGTCCACGAGTTGATCACACTGTCGGGCGTAAGACTACCAACAATCTAAGAAAGTACGGGTCAACTCCCGCTAGTTTTATGTCGGTGAATGATATTACATCCTACGGTTCACCGGGTCTGTGGGGGTGTCCCGATGTCGTAGGATGGAATATCATTCCGCTCTACCACCGATGTGCCTTTTTCATCACCGTTCTAAGCCCCAAAACAAAACCGAACTACTTGCGACATTGCTTGATGGTATCACGTATGTTATACGTGGACGCTTATGTATTAGGCATAAGCATCGAAAAAAAACCGAACCAAACGGCAAGGAAAAAAAAACAAAAAATGAGGTGAGAGAGAGGAGACACTGATCCACCTAAAACACCGAAAAGACGGAGGATGAATCAACCCTCAAAACTTGTAACGAAAAGAACTAAGAAGGTAGGGCCCAAGGTCCTTGAATCAATACAGAAGGATTTCATTTTCTCGCTCTATTAGAATTGGATCAACCCAAGAAGGGTGTTCTTTCCAAATCCTGTTTCGAACGAATCGAAACGGGCCCGAACCAACACGATGATCACCCACAATTGACCTCCCCTACATCGGTGTCAATCCTCCAAAAATATCTTCCATGGGCTCAGGCTCAATCAACTAAATGCTCTCCCAAATAGGACTTGAAAATCCTCCAAATTCCATGAATTGAACAAAAGGAAAGTGACCCGTTGAACAAAATCCATGAATTGAACAAAAGGAAAGTGACCCGGGGAGGACTACCATCAACACCTCCAAACTTATGTCAAAATTAAGATTTTTCAATTCTCAAATTAATCAATAGCTTCTCATACCAAATAAACATAGAACCTTCCAATAAAGCTACATAAATGCTCACGGTCGGGGTCAATAGAGAAGAGGAAGCAGCCACCAAGGCTCTCGGCCAAGTCCACCAACAGAATAAGGAACTCACGGCTAAGGCAAGAAACATGGCCAAAAGAGGCTCACGACCAAGGCAATCCAAGGCACAGGAAAGACTCGCGGCCAAGGCAACCCAAGGAACAACAAGTAAGGCTCACGGCTAAGGCAACCAAAGGGCCCTCCACTAGCTACTTTACCGTACCCCCTCGATATACATAAGGAAATGAATAAAGCAATTATAAATTTTTGGATGAAAAACTTGACTCATCCACAAAATCCAGACTAATCAAGTCCAGCAAGACGGACCAAACAAATCCAAAAGACCCATCGACAAGCTTGCTGGTAGGGCTAAAAAAAGGCACGGGCCAACTCCAGGACAAGCTCTCGGGTAAGGGAGCTAAGGGTAGCAAGGACCAGCTGTTAAGGTTCTCGACCAAAGGCAAAAAAGAGAGGGATCCACTGTCAAAGCCCACAGCCAAGGCCACCAAAAGGGGAGCTGCTAAGGCTCTCGGGTAAGGGGCAAAGCCAACAAAAACCAAGCCCCAAACCAGCTTTAAATTATTTGGGGACGAAACTGCACATATATTTAACTGAGACAGCCAATAACATGCCAATTTAATGTCAAAATGAGTTCAATAAGTGAGCAGGAATTTGGCGGCCCAAGGGCAAAATCGAGAACCTCAACAAGCAAAACCGGGCCCCATGAGAAGCTAAAACCGAGCCGTTACAAAGCCTCAAAATTGATATTTCATGCAGCACACTAATTCAAATAGGCAGATCACAACAAAAGAGCTAAACTGAGGCCTCAACAGGCAAAACCGAGCCCCACAAGAAGCTAAAACTAAGTTGTTCAAGGCTAAAACAGAATTCCAATAAAAATTAAGACCCACGACTCAATAGAGATTAACATCCAGCCATTTCAAGGCAAAATCGAGCCATCCAAAGGTTAAAGAAAAATCCACATGCCTTTAAAACATCAAGATATGGAGCCAATATACATCTTAAACAAGAAAAACAACATAGAAAACATATTTGGGTCTCCAAATTACCTATTCCGAGCATGAAACAATTTCCCATAGATATTTGAACAGAGAGGATACCTCACGAGGAGCTAAACCAAGTCGTTAAAACAAGCTACAGGGCTTTCCAAATTAAAGAAATTTTCTCATAGCATGCATTTCAGGCCAGGAAAAGCCATAGGGAGCTAAAACTGAGCCCCAATAGAGGCTAAAAACCGAGCACAGCAAGGGCCGAAAAGAAAAAACGTGGCCCATAAAGGCTTTAAAGACAGGCCAAAGTAGGGGCCAAACCGAACCCTGTAAAGGCTCAAAAACAAGAATGAATTTCCAGCTTTTTTATCGTGATGATATGCAACAAGAAGTAGATAAGCATGAATCTTCTAGAGCCAACATTCCTTGACATCAAATGAGTTACCACATTCATTCTAAGCATGGAAAATATAATAACTTCTTTCAACATGTATTTCTAGAGGAGCAAACATGCATTTTAAACTATCAATATACTCCCAAACATTTTTTTTTTAAGCAAAGAAAAGAATAGAGACAGCCCATATATGCTTCATTTTTCACTAACCCTAGCAAGAATCCATGCTCAAATCTCAAAACAGGCCTAGATTTTTACTTCCACATGCTCTTATGGTGAATATCTAAAAAGACATGCAAATATATTAGACTAGCATGCTGTACCATCCAACAGAGCTATTCTTAGTGGCTCGGCAGAGAGAAATCGAAAGGAAGCGATGCGCAGAGGAGGAGAAGTACCTTGTTAATACAAAAACAAAATAAAGCCTCGGAAAAATGCTCCACAGCCTAAACTCCTCTCCAACAGCAAGAGGAAACCAACCCAAGCAATAGGAACTAAAGAAGGAAGTGAGAAAGAAATTTGGCAGAGTTTTCCCTTCCTCTTGGAGATTTTTTTTTTGCCGCCCTCTAAAATACTCTAAGTAGAGCTTAATATAGACGGTAGAAGGAGAAGGAGCAATCGAAAGATCGTAAACGGCTCGAGGAAACGAGCGGAGCAGACGCCCCATACTGGCGACTCGAGAGAGGCAGAGGATGAGATCCTCATAGGGGATAAGATCCACGACAATGATAATGGGATGGGTCGTCCTCGAGATGGTCTCACATGCAAGAGGCGAGCGCGGGAGTGAAGGTCCAACAACATAGGAAGGACGCAGGCCAGGCGAGCGAGCGAATAAAGCTAGGGCTGAGTCCCACAGGTTCGAGAAAAGCAGTGGGGAGGGGGTAGATAGATTTAGGTTTTAATAAATAATAATAATAACAAAAATATCATTTATTATTATAATTATACCTAAATTATATATCCTTCCCCAGACGCGTCGTCGCAGTGGAACGAATGTCCCCCTAGGTAAAATCGACATTCCACACGTCGGCGCAGTTCGTTTTGTCAACCAAAGTCGTTTAGGAAACCTCGTCCACGATCAAGACAAAACTCGTCGCGACCCGAATTACGTCAAAAACTCGGCTCGAACTCAATCAAATAGGACGACGGAAAGCGCGACAGCTCTAGATCAACGAGTACAGTCAATACTAGAGCCAACGTCCTATAGGGATGCTCCTTGAGCTTCCTCACAGTAACTCCACCTACTAAGTGCTAGAGGTCAAAACTACTATGCGGAACTTCAAGTCAAGCGAAGAAAAACTCGAAATTTCTAACGGGAATGACTCATTTGCTAGTTTTCTAGGAATAGTCGACAGGAAAGTCCTATGGCTAGACCCTAGGCTATCTAAAGAGGAGAGACTAAACCTCAGCCAAAAGTGAGGTCAACAGTATGTAAGTGTGGATTAACCAGGTCTGATTTAATTCTGATAAACTAATGCAGGAAACTCAATATGTGAGGGCTTAGCAGTAATATATTAACTATTCTATTTTTGCTTCACTTCAAATGTGCAAGGCTCCACCCTCATGTGTGTTGGGATGAAGAACTTTATATACTTCAACTAGGGCTTCAATCGAATTAGAAAATCAAAACCATATTGCATAATAGGATTGCACTAATTCTAGGAATCCCAAACCAACTAATAGGATTCCACTAATTCTATCTCTATCCTTTTGATCGACAGTGCCTTGTATCTCAACATACTTGAACTCTTCAAAAGTAACTGGCGGGTTCTCCTGAATGTTGAACCTGCCCTTGCACGTCTCTATTCATTGAATGTAACATCTCAGCTCTTGACAAATTTCTGATTATGATAATCTCAGAACTTGTACCTAAACTCATATGAGTCATATCCAATGAAGATGCACCTGATAGATTTCAATTCAAGTTTACTCATGGATCCTGCATCAACATTTACATATGCAGAATACTCAAATACTTTTAAATGAGAGATTTACCTCCTTGATATTCCGGTCTTCTTTAGGCAAGTCTTCCTCCAAAGACACTGATGGACCATGGTTAATCAGATAAATAAAAGTGTTTACTGTTTTAACTCAAAACTAATTTGGCAAGTCTACATACAGTTTTATGCTCCTGGCACGCTCTGTGATTGTTTTATTCATGCACTGAGCTACTCCATTTTGCTATGAAGTTCTTGGGACATTGAACTTGTGCCTTATCCCTTATGTAGCTATGTAGCACAAAAGTTCTTGGAATTTCTAATTACAATATTTGTCCATTATTTGATCTGAGACACCTCAACTTCAACTTTGTCTCATTTTCTACCACAGTCTTCCAATTCTTAACCAAATAAGATAATTTTTTGCTTTGAAAAGTAAACACATCTTTTTGGTGTGATCGTCAATAAATGTGACAAAGTAGCAGGAACATCTAATAGGCTGAACTGGAGTAGAATCCTACATATCAGTATGCACTAACTCTAGTTTATTTGACTTCACCACTAAGCTACTTTTAGAGAAAAAAATTTCTTTTGTTTGTCATATATGCAATCTTCATAGAAACTCAAATTTACTATTTTCAAATCCTAAAGTTTATTCTTTGAAAGTAGAGATTTTATACCTTTCTTGCTCATATAATTAAGCCTACGATGTCACAAACCTGTATCCACCTTATTTCTAACCATATCAATGAAATATCAATGAAATCTATAATTCTATTGATCAAGTAAAGAGTGTCTTCAACATTCTCCCAAGTCATCACCATTACCTCTTAATTACTTTTCATGAGTTACCTGCAAAAGTAGTCATAAACCCTGACTTTATCAGCAAACTTACAAAGATGAGATTTCTTTTCAGACTTAGAACATGCCTATGTTTAGCTAGCTTTCAGACTGTTCTACTTGGCCATTTGATATTCACATCACCCTTTCCTAGGATATTGCAGGTCTTGTTGACTCTCGGACAAATCCCGTGAGATCACTGTTAGTGTAATTTTTTAATATCTTTATATTATGGTATGCGTGAAAAGATTTTTGAATTTACTATCCAAGATTCAGTGCTAACAAAGGATAGCACCAGAGAGTCATTTTGGATTTCGCCAGTGGAGATTTTTGTAGAGAGATTCATGTCTTGTCTTCCATTATCAGCTTTCCTTGGAGCTTTACAATCTTCTTTAAAATGTCCTTTCTTTTCGTAGTTTCAATATTTTCCTTTGTCATTTCTTCTGCTTGACCCGAACTTTCCTTTCTTAGACTTGAATCTATTTTTGCTTGAATTCTTGTCCAAATTCCCTCTGTTTTCTTTGAATTTTAAGATTCACCATTTGCTGACTTTCTGCGAACTTTTTCATTCAGTACCAACACAAAGATGTTATCAAAGTTCAACTTAATATTCCTAGAAGAATTGCTCATTGTCGTGACCAAACCATTTCAGATGTCCTGTAATGAAGGCAATATCAATAGTGTCTTGATCTCATCATCAAACTTTATCCCTATAGAACACAACATGCTCGTTACAGTATCAAAATTGTTTGGATGTTCTGACGCTAAACTGTTTCACCATCTTCATATTGAATAATCTCTCCATAAAAAACTTTATTTGGGGCAGAATATTTTTCGTATATCTTTGCCAGTGTTGCCAAGAGATCGCTGTGGTTTTCTCTTTTACTATATTGAACACAACATATGAATAAAGTGATAAAAGAAATCAATCCCAGGGATGTTTGAATCGACCCTAATCCTAAACACCTCCCTTTCCTCCATAGTCTCAAGCTTCTCGGTGATACATTGTAAAGGCAAATATGGTTTTTTCTGATATAACAAATTCTACACTTGCATCATCTGCAACATGAAGATGGTCTCATTGAAATTCTCCACTTTGTACCTTGTTTCGTTGGTCATTGCTCCCACTCGAATCAAATACTTCGCTCCTATTATCACTTGGTTGGGATGGAAACCTTTATACTTCAACTAGTCTAATATCACTTGGTTGGGATGGAAACCTTATATACTTAAACTAGGGCTTCTTGATCCAATTAGAAAATTAAAACCACACCCCAGAATAGGATTGCATGATTCGAAGATTCCAGAACAATATGTTCTAATGGAAGCATTATAAAAAAAATTCTAAAGAATTTAACATAGAAAAACCAGAGAACGAGAAGAAACTACGGAGCCACAACACCAAGAAATTTTTACTATGAATATTCAGAAAAGTACAAAATACTCACTCAGATCTCCACTCTACAATTGATTAAACTTACAAGTCTTTGATCGAAACCCTTCTTCTCGATCTCAAAATAGAAAAACTCATTGAAATCCTCCTCAACAACACTTCTCTCATTCATGAGACTTTAGTTGAAAGAACCGCACGTGAGAGCTATACCATCATTGCTCGAAATCACGAATTTAAGAACCATTCCAGGATCAACCGTCAGGCGATGCGGTCACACTAAATATGGGCGTAATTATTCCACCCGCTTGGGATCAAAGCAGTGCGGATGACTCTCATTATGCCCGTTTTTGGCTTTTGGCTACGTCAAGTTTAGTTCCGGCTTTGCGGCTGTGTGCTGTAGGCCGCTGCGGGCTTCTCGGGCCGTGGGTGCTTCAGGCTCCACAGCATAACAATGTGCAGTGAATATTTGAGGACTTTCTGATATTGATTCTACTTTGCAGTAATATATTGATTAATTCCTTAATATTATTTGTTGGTATTATAAGCGCTTGACTCTAACCACACACATTTTAAGGTTCTGTTAATGGCAGCAACTGCGCAGAACTCGCAGAAAAGGAAGATATCGATGGTTTTCTTGTTGGTGGGGCCTCCTTGAAGGTATTTTTCTGAAATTAAGGTGCAATTTGATTCATGACAACAGTTTTCATAATAAATATGAATTGTGTTTGTGTTGTCTTGTACCTCAATATCGAAACATAGAAAATTCATTAAACATTAGAACAATGAAAGAAATCTTTAAACATAAGGTTTAGACTCAAATTGAGGAGAAAAATATATAATTTTAGTGAATGTGATATAAATAATTATTGATTTATAAAATTTGATAAAATTAATATCAAGTGTGATGGATTCAAATATCTTGAGTTTTTATTCTATAGAAATTTATAGATATAGATAAGGTTTTGAGTGTTGAGAGAACTTATAGAGATTTGAAGCTAAATTTTATGAAATTGTAATTAGGCCGACTATATTGTGTGGGTTCGAGTCATTGATGCGCAACTTGAGCATTTTTAAAGATGAATGTGTGATAAAGCTAAGGGAAAATCAAATAATAAAGTGATTATATTCATGAGATGATGGGAGCATCGTCTGTTGAAAAGTTCGGATAATGAAAAAATAAACTTGGGGATTATTGATTGCTTATAGGCAAAAATATATGTAAGAAAATAACGATTTTATTTTCACTCATTTAGCGAGTAAAATTAAAATATGCTAATTTTTCTAGGGATTTAGTAGGTTCAAAAAACGCACCAATGAGATAAATATATTAACTTAATTTACAACTATTAGAAAGTGGTATAGTGCACCCAAAACATTCTTATTTACAAATCAATCACCTTCTTTCAGCCATTTTTCAAATTCTCACTCAAACATCAAAATTCACGACACAAGCCCCACTCATGTATTTCATTTTTATCAAATTCTCAATGATTTGATCGTGACATGCATAAATGCATCGGTTCAGTAGTTCCAAAAATCACCTGGCCGTTTGATTTGTAAATAGCAATGTTTCGGGTGCTCTACGTGTAATTATCCATAGAAAGTAATATGGATACATCAGATAATAAAAATGAACGAAGAATGAAGATAATATGGATACATCTTAAACAGTTGGGATATGAGGCTATGTTTTTAAAGCAAGGGTTTTTTTTTTTTTTTAAATTAATTAGCACCATTTGTGCCACTAATTATGGCTTTACCACTTGCAGGGCCCAGAATTTGCAGTCATTGTCAATTCAGTGATTCAAAAGAAGGTTGTCGTCTAACTCGTGAGTCACTATTTTGCTCCAATGTAAAATACAGTCTTTGTTTGTTTGGAAATTTATTTTCACAAAAGAGCAGAGCCTATTTCCTATGCTGTCATAAATCTAATTTGGAAATTTGATCAACTGATTGAACTATTTTTCTTGTGATTCCTTCTTTTTCATGAGGAGGCAATTATGGCATGAGAGATGAGGGAAGTTTTTTAAGCTAAATGGGTATGGTATATATTAGCATAAATGTGATGATATTCTCCTTTGATTGTATCCGGATAAAATCATTCCTATATTATAAATTGGTATCCATGTCCTATATGAAAATTTATGACTTATTTTGATGTTAAAGGAAGTAATCTTAAGAGCTTAATTGGATGACATTATTATTATTATTATTTCGTAGGGTATTTATATGTGCCCGACCGTTAGAATCTTCGAAGATTCAAGCACACATATATTTTTGTTTTCCAGAGAAAAAAAAAATCAGGAATTTTTTTTTTTTTTGGTTCCTAAATTATATATATGTTAACATGCCATTTATTAATATTTATGGGAGGTGAAATTAAATAAATTCATTTCCTCTAAAATATACTAGCTAAAGTAAAGACTCCCTGTTCTAAAAAGACATGAATTATTCTCACATATGTTTTAACATTTAATACACATTGAAATTAGGTGCCTTCTTTAATGAGAGTCCAACTTATGATTGCTTCATTGAAAAGTTGAGTTAAAGCTACTCAATTTCTTTTTTTTATTTTAATATAATTACAGTGAGTACGATGGTCCAACCATAATGATTCAATGGCTCAATTGTCTTCAATTTCTTTTTTTTTTTAATTTTAATATAATTAGAGTGAGGAGTACGATAGTCCAACCATAATGATTCAATGGCTCAATTGTCTTCTATTTATTTTACTGAAAATTTTAGCTGTCTCTTGACTTGGTAGGTCTGAGATATTAAGTGCCATAACATGTTCTGCGATGACAACCATACAAGTTCAGATGATATGTGAAAGTTTGATCAATCTAATTCAAACAAATTCATATCTTGGGTTTTATTTTGAGCCCTTAAAGACTAATGTGAAGATTCCTTTTATTGAACTTGGGTAAGAACGACAAATTTACAACATTAGATAGAACTAATGTTTTTTGCTTTGATATCTACAAAATTGTTAACTAATGTGAAGATTCCTTTTATTGAACTTAGGTAAGAACAAATTTACAACATTAGATAGGACTAATGTTTTTTGCTTTGATATCTACAAAATTGTTTCTTTTGGTAAAATTCATAGCAGCCAAATATTGGGTCTACACACAATTCAAACATTGAATGTACCTGACAGTACATCAAGGAAGAATAGAGTGCACCATATATATATATATATATATATATATATATTTAAGCAAACCAATTAGACCTCGGATCAAAGTCAACACAGATGGAACTTTTGATGCAGCAGATATTGGTGGTGCTGGGGATTATTCAAAAATTGGAATGATAAATGTCTTATATACTTCCACTCTCCTCGCTATGTAAACATTGTGATTGAAACTAAGGAATGGGCATATGCAATGGAGATGCATTCATGTGGTGATATTAGCACTACAGCTCCATTGTACCAAACCATGTGGGCTGAGAGGATCAATTTGCTTGCATATGCACATCATTTGGAACCATAGTTACTGAGGGGAATCAACCAACAGATTGGCTTGCCAATAGAGGATCATCCACATATTTTGTTTATAGTGACCATGCTCTTCTGCTTCCTCTTAAAATTTTAATACATGGGAACAACCTTACAGAATAATTTGGAGAGAGAGAGAGAGAGAAATTAGTATTAACGAGTGTTAAAGATGTGCGTAACGATTTTCTGGGATCCTATTTTTTTAGCAACTTTTTTTAGCTCAACCGCTCAATTGTATAAAAAACACTAATAAAATAGAAGAAAATAAACATTGCTCCGACAATAAATGGACTAAACAACCGCACAAGATCTCTACACCTGTACTGCTTCAGGCCTTCAACAAATAGGCCCAAGATGCAAGAAATTTTTTCATATGAACTACACAGCTCTACGTGTAGAGTCCAGTAATACGCTGTCATGTGTTATATTGGCCTACCTAAAAAAAAAAAATAAAGTGGAACCGCGGAAGTTATTTGGGAGGGTTATTGGGGGGTTATTGGGCATTAACTTCAATAACGCCGCAATAACTTTTTAATAACCCCCTAATAACATCCGTGGTTTCACTCCAATAACCCTCTAATACCATCCACGGTTCCATTTCAATAACCCCTGCAATAATTCCCCAATAACCTCCGCGGTTTCACGTCCCACGATAACCTCCACGTTGTGGTATATTACATGAAGTTCACATGCAGAGCTGCATCCGTACTCCATATGGAAAAATTTCTCCAAGATGGCAAATCATTTAATGCTCTGCAATGTGGATCAAATTTGTGATTTTATTACCAATCATGAAAAAAATGTTTCACCCACGTATTCCATATCATTTCCCTTTTTCC